ACCTCGTTGCATGGTGTCAGGTGTGATCATGTCAGAGATTTATTTCTCTCTATCACTGCTGACTTGATGCAATGTGCTATAACAGGACATAATCCAGAGTAGAGCAGAGCATGTAGCAAGTCATAATAACAAACAAAATAGAAATCTCCAATAATTCAAAATATTCAATTTGTTACCACAGCTTGTTTAGGTAAGAAAAACTCTTAAATGCCACATTTCTAGTTTTTCTTTCTGTGGAATATTCTATTATTCCTTTCTTCTGTTATGCTTATTATAGTACCTTGGAATTCCACGTACATTAAAGAAGTAATCCTCAGGATGCCTCAATAGGCAATTGTTGTTATCCTCATTTTTAGAGGGAGTACTGAAGCACAAAGGGGTTAAGTGACTTACCCAAGGAGACACAGGTGGTCCCTGGCAGATCTGGAAATGGAGTTCAGGTCTCCTGCCTCCTAGTTAGTGCCTTAGATGCAACACCATCCTTCAGGCTTAATTTCATGGTTGTCCTGTTTCTCTCTTGACCTAGTTGGTATAGTTTGCCTACTATACGTGTATAAAGGTTGAACCCTTGATTATGATCTATCAGGTTAATCAGTGAACACATTATAGTTGAATGTTGAGCACCATGCACAAGTCCATTTCACATTACTTCTGGATGTTTGCAAAAGGTTTTCAAGGTCAAGCTTTGCAGTTAATCCTAAAGAGAACGGATATAGAAGTTACATGTGATTTACACCATTAGTCACAGGAAATGGACTTCCAGATTTAATGGCAGTCAAAATACTGGCAGCAGCTATTTTTAGAAATCATTAAGGTGTTATTTTTAACCCTCAGCCACTAAGGACTTTCTAATTTAGGAAACTGGCCTTAATTAACCCCACTTGCTTGACATCATATTTTCCATGTTCCGTGTTTAGCCAGAGACAGCTGCTACTTGTATTAAGTAATGCTTAACTACTGCAGAACAGCTTTGCACTCTACTTAATTGTGGCAGAAATAACTGTAAATTAACACACTTTATCTCAAAGAACATCAATCCTCTTGTTAAAATATCTCAACCTAGGGCTTTGTTTCTAATAAATTGCCCTCTGAACATGGTCACCAGAGGTACAGCTGTGTCCTATTACGAATGGCTAAATGAATAGTGTAGTGCCGTAGTGGGCAGGTGCCCACTGAGCTTCTATATGTGACCCACAAGACATTTTGTTTACCATTGCTCATGCATAGGATTGTCAGATGCTGCTGGTTTCAGTTGGTATGCCCCACAAATGTTAGGTATGCAAGCAGAGTTAGAAAAAATACCCTATCCCAGGAGACCGTCATAACAATCTTGAGGCTCATTGAGATGAGGGAGGACCACTCATGCAGCCCATTCACTAGCCTAGATTGCCCATCACTAATGTAATGAATGGCTTGCAGATGGGGCCAGGTTATTTGCCAGGCGTAGGCAAAGCCATCTTTTCTACACTGATTCTGTTTGTCATCATTTAGGAAAATGCAAATGAGATGTAGACTTATAGACCAGAGAAGCAATCCAACCCCTGAAGAAGGATCATTTTATTTGGCACTGTTATTTTTTGGTGTTTCATTAAGTGCTAGCTTTTCATAGCGCCAAGAAGTCCCTGCTCTGTGGCCCAGAAGTAAACAAGAAGAGGGAGCATAGGACTGCTTATACACCATTCAGTTTTAATTTTCACAACTCAGCCCATCTGCAAACCAAAAGGTTGTAAAGCAATGTGAAAATCTGTGAAGAGCAGATATGAAAAACTTCAATTTTCTTGTGCCAGAGCATGCCAGTTTTATTTAATAAATAAAATGGTTGGAAAGTGAGCTTTTCCATATAATTTTTATATTGCCTATGTCCTGTGTTGTATGGAAGCAGATATATAGCACTCACTATAGATAGAATAGGGGTGTGGGGGGGATTGGGTTTTTTTGTTTGGTTTTCCCTGGATCATACTATAGCTGTATTAAGTTTTGGGAGACCTGTCTCCAAATTAAGCTCCAGTTAAGCAATAGAAACCAGTTTCTAGTCTGAGTATTTACTCAGAATTAAAAGACAGAGGCGGGGTTCCCTGATGTCTCTTTCATTGTTTCTCATTTTACTATTTCTCTAGCCATATCAATCTCATCCTTTCATGGCTGTTTTTACAAGTGCTTTCCCCAGACTCATAAAATGCTTTGTTCTTTTGCTGACTGTAGCTGCAGTGATTCTCATCCCTCTTTTCTTCTGCTGCTTATGATAAAGTTCTTCCAATGGAAATTTTAATTTACCAATTCTTTTCTCTCTCTCTCTCTCTCTCTCTCTCTACATCCTTACATAATTCTATTTTCACTTCAGCCCCTCAAATTCCTCTTCGCTTCTCTTAATAACACTGAAAATCTGATAAACTTGA